CTTCTCCCCCTCCCCTCCCCCTCCCGCTTTCCCTCACTCCTTTCTGCCTCCCTCCCACCCCCAGCTGTTTCATGCTGAGCCAGAGCTACGTGACACACGTGCAGGGCCACCTGTGTCTGCTGGGGAAATCCATGCCCTGGGGATGCTGGGTTGAGCCCGTTCTGGCCTGAGCTGTGATGGGCAGCTGGTGCTGAGGGTGGCCAGTTTGTAGTAGTTTGGTTTTCTCTGGAGCCCTTTTGCTTTCTTTCCTCAGGTCTGGATCACCAATGGAGGACTAGCCAGTGTTTTTACTGTGTTTGCAAAGACAGAGGTTGTTGATTCCAATGGCTCAGTAAAGGACAAGGTCACAGCGTTCATAGTAGAGAGAGACTTTGGTGGAATCACCAGCGGGAAACCTGAGGATAAGTTAGGCATCCGAGGCTCCAACAGTGAGTGGCACGTGCATGCATGTGTGTGTATGAGAGAGAAAGAGACAAGGTGAGATTTTATCTTGATAAAAAGGTATCAAACATCAAGATAACATGAGACTTAAGTAGTTTTGTTTCCACCTGAGCATTTGGCAAAATCTCTCCACACATCGGGCAATGATGACTTCAAGGTGAGGTCGTCGCCACCTTGTGGCGCTCAGCCTTGGAGGGAGGTGGTGCTGGGGGTCCTGGGTCAGTGTTGCAGTACAGCAGACCCCCATCTTTCCAGCCTGGGACTCCTCCTTCCTCCCTTCTCCCTCCTCCCCACCTAAGCCCAGTCGGCACTCAGCTCACTCGAGGCTGGTATCCTGTAAGTGGCCCTCGGCCCACCTGGAGCTGCCCTGTGGTCCTCACGAGGCTCAGCCTCTTGGGTCCCTTAGCTCGGACTGTGGAGGGTCTGAATGAATGAGCGAGTGAGTAAATGAACCGCGTCCCTCGAGTGGGGGTCGGGGGTAGAGCGCTTCGTCCCCCTCAGCTGAGGTCCTGGATGTCATGTGTTCCAGCCTGCGAGGTCCACTTTGAGAACACCAGGGTGCCCGTGGAAAACGTCCTCGGAGAAGTTGGAGGCGGCTTTAAGGTGCGTTGCCCTGCGTGTGCTGACCTTTGTTGCAGTCTCGTGTGCGTTGGCCCAGCTTCCCGTCACCTCCCTGCTGGCAGTGCACTGGGCTGGGCTGGCCGGGCGGCCATGCATGGCTCTCTGCATGGAGGTCAGCAGAGCGGAGAGAAGTCAGCCTTGGGAGGCAGGGGTGCAGCAGCGCTCAGTCTCACCCTCCCTCACGTAGGGGTAGAGTCCTCCCCCAGCCAGTGGAGAGAGCAGCCCAGTGGCCCTGCAAAGCTCAGGACGCACAGCCCTGGGTCCTCAGTGCTTACCCTGATTTTTTTTTCTTAGAGTAAGAATATATTTAATAACAGGTAATTCACATGACAAAATTTACCATTTTCAAATGAATGCTTTGTTGGTTTTTAGTATATTCACTGTGCTTGTGCAACCATCTCCATGGTCTAATTCTAGAACATTGCCATCACCCCAGCAAGACACCCCATACTTTCTCATTTCCCTCTCCCAGAGCTCGGCCGTCGCTGTTTCACTTTCTGCTTCTGTGGATCTGCCTGTTTTGTTTGTTTGTTTATAAATGTATTTTATTTTTGTTTTTGGCTGCATTGCGTCTTTGTTGCTGTGTGCGGGCTTTCTCTAGTTGCGGTGAGCGGGGGCTACTCTTCGTTGTGGTGCGAGGGCTTCTCATTGCGGTGGCTTCTCGTTGTGGAGCACAGGCTCTAGGCATGCGGGTTTCAGTAGTTGTGGCACGTGGGTTCAGTAGTTGTGGCTCGTGGGCTCTAGAGCACAGGTTCAGTAATTGTGGCGCATAGGCTTCGTTGCTCCACAGCATGTGGGATCTTCCTGGACCAGGGCTTGAACCTGTGTCCTCTGCACTGACGGGCGATTTTTTTTTTTTCTTTTTTTGCGGTACACGGGCCTCTCACTGTTGTGGGCTCTCCTGTTGCGAAGCACAGGCTCCGGACGCGCAGGCTCAGCAGACGTGGCTCACGGGCCCAGCCACTCTGTGGCATGTGGGATCTTCCCAGACCGGGGCACGAACCCGTGTCCCCTGCATGGGCAGGCAGACTCTCAACCACTGCACCACCAGGGAAGCCCCATCTGCCTATTTTGAATGTTTCATTTAGATGGAATCCATGTGTGGTCCTTCCTGTATGGCTTCTTTCACGCTGCATAAGGTTTTCAAGGTTTATCCAAGTCTAGCAGCTGTCACTCCTTCTTATAGCTGAGTAACGTTCCATCATGTGCATGGACCATGTTTTGTCCATCTGTCATCAGCTGATGGACATTTGGGTTGTTTCAATTTTTGGCCATTTGAATAATGCTGCTGTGAACAGTCATGCACGTTTTTGTGTGAATGTTGTTTTCCATTCTGTTGGGCGCACACCTGGAAGAAATGGAGGGTCAAATGGTGACTCTATGTTTAGCTTTTTGGGGAACCGCCAAACTCTTCCACAACAGCTGCACTGTCTCACATTCGCAGCAGCAGTGCCTTAGGGTTCCAGTTGCTCCACATCCTTGCCAATATGTGTGATCGTCCATTTTTAAAATTACAGCCATCCTCGTGGGCGTGAAGTGTATCTCGTTGTGGTTTGATTTGCATTTCCCTGATGATTAGTCGTGTTGAGCATCTTTTTATGTGCTTATTGGCTATTTATCCCCTTTGTTTATTTTATTTTATTGGGTTGGCCAAAAAGTTCGTTCGATGTTTTCCATAAGATGGCTCTAGTAGCATTTAGTTGTCTTTAATTTCATTCGAAACAATTTTGCTAGATCGTATTTTGACAGCTGTCATATCAACATGCATTTTTTAAAAAAACTTATCAAAATTGGTGAATTTTTGTGTAGCCATTTTAATATTGAAGGTGGAAGAAAAAAAAGCAACATTTTGGGCATATTATGCTTCATTATTTCAGGAAAGGTAGAAACGCAACTGAAACGCAAAAAAATATTTGTGCAGTGTATGGAGAAGGTGCTGTGACCGATCAAACATGTCAAAAGTGTTTTGTGAAGTTTGTGCTGGAGATTTCTTGCTGGACGATGCTCCACAGTCGGGTAGACCAGTTGAAGTTGATAGATATCAATCGAGACATTAATTGAGAACAATCAACGTTATACCATGAGAGAGATAGCCGACATACTCAAAATATCCAGATCAAATGTTGAAAATCATTGGCACCAGCTTGGTTATCTTAATCACTTTGATGTTTGGGGTCCATATAAGTTAAGTGAAAAAAACCTTCTTGGCCATATTTCCACATGGATTCTCTACTGGAATGTAATGAAACATTCCATTTTCAAAACAAATTGTGACCGGCAATGAAAAGTGGATACTGTACAATAATGTGGAATGGAAGAGATTGTGGGGCAAGCAAAATGGACCACCACCAACCACACCAAAGGCTGGTCTTCATCCAAAGAAGGTGATGTTGTATATATTGGTGGGATTGGAAGGGAGTCCTCTATTATGAGCTCCTTCTGGAAAACCAAATGCTTAAATCCAACAAGTACTGTTCCCAGTGAGACCAACTGAAAGCAGCACTTGAAGAAAAGCATCCGGAATTAATCAACAGAAAATGTATGATCTTCCATCAGAATAATGGAAGACCACATGTTTCTTTGATGACCGGGCAAAAACTGTTACAGCTTGGCTGGGAAGTTCTGATTCATCCACCATATTCACCAGGCTTCAGATTTCCATTTATTTTGGTCTTTACAAAATTCTCTTAATGGGAAAAATTTCAATTCCCTGGAATACTGTAAAAGGTACCTGGAACAATTCTTTGCTCAAAAAGATAAAAAGTTTTGTGAAGATGGAATTATGAAGTTGCCTGAAAAATGGTGGAGGTAGTGGAACAAAACTGTGAATATGTTGTTCAATAAAGCTCTTGATGAAAATGAAGAATGTGTCTTTTATTATTACTTAAAAACTGAAGTCAGTTTTTGGCCAACCCAATATTTTATTGAAGTATAGTTAATTTACAGTGTTGTGCCATTGTCTGCTGTACAGCAAAGTAACTGTTATACACATACAGACATTCTTTTTTTTTAATACTCTTTTTCATTATGGTTTGTCACAGGATACTGAATATAGTTCCCTGTGCTATACAGTAAGACCTTGTTATTTATCCATTCTGTATATAATAGTTTACATTTGCTAGTCCCACACTCCCAATCCTTTTCTCCATCTCCCCTCTCCCCCTTGGCAACCACAAGTCTGTTCTCTATGTCTGTGAGTCTGTTTCCGTTTTGTAGATACGTTTATTTGTGCCATATTTTACATTACACATATAAGTGATATCAGATGGTATTTGTCTTTCTCTTTCTGACTTACTTCAGATAATACGTCTTTCTGACTTACTTTATGATAATCTCTAGTTGCACCCATGTTGCTGCAAATGGCATTATTTCATTCTTTTTTATAGCTGAGTAATATTCCATTGTATATATGTACCACATCTTCTTTATCCATTCATCTGTCAGTGGACATTAAGGTTGTTTCCATGGGCTGTTTATCTCCTTTGAAGAAACATTTTTCCAAATCTCTGCCCGTCTTTAAATTGGGCTATTTGTCTTTATATTGCTGCTCTGCCCTAATTTACTGGGTGGCCTGGGTAAGTGTCTTCACAGTGGGAAGCTGCCCCACCTTGGCTGTGAACAGGGATCAAAGCAGGACCTCCCTGGCCTCCTGAGCATTACAAGAATCACCCAAGGACCGTCAGCCAGGGCTCCAGCCACTGCTGCCTGGGAAGTGTGGAGCAGAGGGTAGGGGAGGTGGAGGGCACACAATGGGCGTCTGTGTGCAGATGTCACACACAGATGAGGGAACACGTGAGTCCCCTGAAGCCCGTCCCTGGGGAGTTGCCATCCACTGTTCACACTTTTTTGTTTACCTATTTTATTATTATTTTATGTTTTTGAATTTTATTTTTTTTATACACCAGGTTCTTATTAGTTACCCTTTTTAGTAGTATATATTAGTATACATGTCAATCCCAATCTCCCAGTTCATCACACCCCCACCCCCACCCCCTGGCGCTGCCCCTGGTGTCTTTACGTTTGTTCTCTACATCTGTGTCTCAGTTACTGTCCTGCAAACCAGTTCATCTGTACCATTTTTCTAGGTTCCATATATATGCGTTAATACACGATATTTCTTTTCTCTTTCTGACTTACTTCATTCTGTATGACAGTCTCTAGATCCGTCCACATCTCTACAAATGACCCAGTTTCATTCCTTTTTATGGCTGAGTAATATTCCATTGTATATATGTACCACATCTTCTTTATCCATTCGTCTGTCGACGGGCATTTAGGTTGCTTCCATGACCTGGCTATTGTAAATAGTGCTGCAATGAATATTGGGGTGCATGTGTCTTTTTGAATTATGGTTTTCTCTGGGTATATGCCCAGTAGTGGGATTGCTGGATCATATGATAATTCTATATTTAGTTTTTTAAGGAACCTCCATACTGTTCTCCATAGTGGCTATATCAATTTACATTCCCACCAACAGTGCAAGAGGGTTCCCTTTTCTCCACACTCTCTCCAGCATTTGTTGTTTGTAGATTTTCTGAAGATGCCCATTCTAACTAGTGTGAGGTGATACCTCATTGTAGTTTTGATTTGCATTTCTCTAATAATTAGTGATGTTGAGCAGCTTTTCATATGTTTCTTGGCCATCTGTATCTCTCCTTCAGAGAAATGTCTATTTAGGTCTTCTGCCCACTTTTGGATTGGGTTGTTTTTTTTAATATTGAGCTGAATGAGCTGTTTATATATTTTGGAGATTAATCCTTTGTCCGTTGATTCGTTTGCAAATATTTTCTCCCATTCTGAGGGTTGTCTTTTCGTCTTGTTTGTAGTTTGCTTTGCTTTGCAAAAGCTTTGAATTTTCATTAGGTCCCATTTGTTTTTGTTTTTATTTCCATTACTCTAGGAGGTTGATCAAAAAAGATATTGCTGTGATTTATGTCAGAGTGTTCTTCCTGTGTTTTCCTCTAAGAGTTTTATAGTGTCTG